AAAAAAAATGGAATCAAACTCTGTGTAGATAGGGAAGGGTGGAGGGGGTGAAGGGTGCACAGGTAATGGGAGAAAAAATGAAAACTAAGATGCATCATGTTCTGGTACAAACACCCAATGATAAATGTAAATGTATTTTATACTTAAAATGTACCAATAAATATATATATTCAAAAAATTAAAAAATAAAAAATAAAAATAAACAATATGAGTTGAGGTAAGTAAATGATGAGATATCTATATAATTGAATACTCTTATAATTTCAGTAGACCTGAGCTTGTTGTTACCGCAATCTATTCATAAGACACTAAATGACATCAGGTGTTATCAAAGAATTTAAATAGTAGTGTGGCATTTTAGTTACATTTAAATATATAAATGTACATAGTATATATACAATACTATATAACTATGTGAATCAGTGGTTATCTTTTCTTTGGGGTAAGATTTGGGGATAGTTTTTTTCTTTTGTTTTTCTTCTATTTGCCTATATTTCTGACGTTTTTATAATAATGAAAATAGCCAAAATTATGTTTAATTGAAAAAAGAAAAGCAAAACTATCCTGGATTATGACAGACACAAAGGCAAGAATGGGGTCATGAGAGTAGAACAAGGCAGAACCTGAGATAAGGATGCCTCCTGGGAACAATTTTCTTTCCAGGACGGAGCCATGCCCCAGTTGCCTCCAAACTGACAAAGATGCCAGGCCCACCAGGCCACACTGTTTTTTGTTTTTTTTGTTTTTGTTTTTTTTGGTACCAGGGATCGAACTCAGGACCTTTTGCTTGCAAGACAGACAATGGAACCAATGAGCTAAATCCCCAGTCCTAGGCCACACTTTCACCATATCTAAAGTACCAGGAGAAGACAGAGTCACCACTGGCCAAGTCTCACCTAGGTTGGCCAGGGAGGGGACAAAGGCATCAAACAGCTGACCATGAGACACACTGACCAGGCCAGGTAGCCTCTGCGAGAAGTGGACTCCTGTCCCCAGTGAGACAGTGTGATGTGAACGTGACAACTTCTGAGAAACAAGAATGCTCAGGGCTGCTTCTGCTGAAAGGGACCCTTTTCCAGGTAAGACAGTCCAATCCAGAACTCTGGAGGGGGAAAAAGTGAAGACTTCCTCATAGGGGAAAGTTGACCAGAACTCTCACAGCTGAAACAAGAATCGATGCTCAAAGGTAGATTTAAGATGGTCCAGATCCCAGGAGGAATGATAACCAGATGTGACAGGAGCCAAAAGGAAGGAAGGTCTCTTCTCACAGTGTCTGTCAGCGCAACCAGTCATAATTCAGTAGACAGTTCTCTCAGAGTGACTCTGACTGCTTTGGGACTGGACTTGTGCAGCTTTTTTGGCTTCTCAGGCCCTTGTTCCAACTTCTGTAGTTGTAAAGTGAAAGAGCAGCCACCACGTTATCTTCCACTCAGTGGGTCCTGGATGGGCTGCCTAGGAACTGATGTAGATGGCTTTTGGGGTCACTGTCATTCCACCCTTGTTGGGGCCATGTTTCTCCTGTTTGAGCCCCAGGTCTTCTTGGCTCTTAACAGTGTGTGAGTGACCCCTCCAGGTGTCAGTGTCCACAGCCTCTGGCAGTCTTGGATTTGTGCTTTCAGAACTGCCTTTCTTCCCTGGGAAGATATCAAGACATTTCCTGTCTCCACTGGATAAGGTGCAGTAGGAGTGGGCAACACAGGGCCAAATCCAAGACACCAGACTGAGAGGGACAGGAAGGGGAAGCACAGGGCAGTAGTGGGTGATCTGAATCTCCCAGTCGCCTAATCCAGCCATCAAACACTCATCTCATCATTCTTGCCACTTTCTGAAGCAGTTCTGGAAGTCCTCTTTCGTGAGTATCTTTATGAGGTATGATCAAGTTATGGGGAATGCAGTTGCTGAGTGCCATCCAACAGAAAGGCAGGCTTCTAAAAACATCACAGTATGTCCTTGTCCACCTTACTCACTGGACCTGGCACCATCATATTTGTGTCTGTCCCCCAAAGTCACAATGACCATGACAGCTAAATGTTTTGAATTGATTCCAAACATCAATGGACCGAGGATTTAGCTCAGTGGTTCCACCGCTGCCTCGAAAGCGTAAGGACCCAAGTTCGATCCCTGGTACCAAACAAACAAACAAAAAAACAAAGTCACTGATTCCAGACGTCAAAGCAGCCACCCTAGTGCATCTAAAGACACTCATGAAAAGGGACTTCTAGAACTACTTCAGAAAGTGGCAAGAACAATGGGATAGAAATGTTTTTAAAGTGCAAGGGAGTATTTTGAGGGAGATTAATGGCAAAGTACTTTTCACGGTAATAAATATTTAAAAATTTAAACTCAGTATTTTTATATCACACCTCCTACAATTCTTCCATGAAGTGTGCATATTTCAATAGAGCTTAGTTTATCATGGAGTCTTAACTCATTTTTTTTTTTTGGCTTTTTCTGTACTGATGATTGTACCCAGAGCCTTTGCACTGAACTACATCCCCAGCCTTTCTTAAATTTTTTTAAATTTTGAGACAGGGTCTTGCTGAGACTTCTGCCTGAAATTGGAAATCTTCCTGCCTCAGCCTCCCACAGTATTGGGACTTGAGCCAACATGAATACTTCATGAAAAAGATAATTAATGTTTTGTGTTTAAAGAAGTTGTGAAGTAGATCAAACCCTATTAAGTCATCTTCTCTCTCATGTCCTGACAGCTGAGTCTTTTACAAGCTGACTCTTAGCAGACACTTTCTAACAATTGTTGAAATAGCTGTAAATGTTCACCTGGGCTGACGCACCCTTGTAATGATCCTGTATTTCTTTTTTTTTTTTTTTCAGTCTCCTAGGCAGCATATTGGGAAACTAAGCTCTGTAATTGCAGCTGCTAAAGTGACAGCTAATATTTCTGAGCAAGTAGTAATTACACATCAAAATCAGACTTTTCCAAAGAATTCAGATTGATCTGTATGCCATGTTCATCTTACAACATTTCACTCATTTACTCTAGATATAAAAATATAGTGTATCGGGCCAGGGATTTAGCTCAGTGGTTTTGCCACCTGTTATGCAAGCGCAAGGACCCGAGTTCAATCCCCAGTACCCAAAAAACAAAACAAAACAAAACTATATATATATGGTGTATGTTGCATGTACCAAGTAGTAATAAAGTAATAAAGTGACTGGGAGGATTAAAACAAAAATCCTAGAAGTCTGTTTTTGTTATTTTTTTTTTCTTATGTGAAGCAGAGGCTTATTTATTTTTCCAGTTCTGGGGATCAAATACAGGGCTTTGGGCATAGTGGGCAAGGGCAACTGCTGTATTAGAGCTGTACTCCCAGTCCCTGAGGCTCTTTTAATTATGGAATCACTAACATAGTATATAGGGATATGTTTCAAGGTATCCTGTCCAGTATGAGGTTGGAAATGAACAGAAAGCTTAAACATTCTTCCTTTCACAGGACTTGTTTGCTTCAAAATTACTGTAATATTTTTACTAAAGGCACTCCACAGTTAGTGTGTTCACTGTTTTTTCTGTGATTTTATCTGCTAATGAGAAAGGTAGAAGATACCACTTTAGGTCCTGCCAGGTACTACCTTCCCAGTTTCTCTCCAGTATGTAATATCACCTCTTGAGGGCAAAGGTTTCCTCACAATCATTACATCATTACGTGCTCCATGATAATCCACGGTGATTATTCACAATAAGGTCCATTATTTCAGAAAAAGCTTTCCTAGCTTCTCTATTCATAGGATTTCAAAGGTGACACTTAAGCAAATATTCAGCAAGGCTTTTCCACATTGAATATACGGGTGGTTTTTTTTCCCTACATGTTTGTGACATAAAGTAATACATAATGACTGGTTTCTCTCTGGTGTAAATCCTCTGTTTTCTCCTGAGGGTGGACATCTGGCCATTGGCTGTCCCACAGGGACCACACTCCTGTTTGCTAGGAGCCCACTGATGTTTGACGTATCAGGGGTCACGGAAGGTATTTGCACTGTTACATCAACAGGGTTTCTCCTTTGCAGGAGTGTACTACTGTCCAATAAGGTGTGACTCACTGTAGAATTTTCTACCTTCATTGAATCACTGCATTTCTCCCTGTTGTGTGTTCTCTTATGTTTAACAAGGCAAGACATGTAAGAGTAGGCTTTCTTACACTCATCACATCCATAGGGTTTCTCTCCTGTATGAGTTCTACGATGGGTAATGAGCTTTGCCTTTGTAATGAAGACTTTCCCACAGTCACTGCATTTATAGGTTTTCCCTCCAGAGTGAATTCTCTGGTGTCTAATGAGAACTGACTTCTGTGAACAGGATTGTCCACACTCAGTACATACAAAGGGCATCCTTCCTGTATGGTATCTCTGATGTGCTATGAGGCAGATCTTCTGGCTGAAGGCTTTACCACAGTCAGTACATCTGTAGGGTTTCTCTCCCATGTGAATTCGTTGATGTATCATAAGATTGCCCTTCTGAATGAACTCTTTTCCACATTCACTACATAAATAAGGTTTCTCTTCTATATGAATTGGCATATGCACAATGAGCAGTGATTTCCTGGCAAAACTTTTCCCACATTCGGGGCACACATGGGGCTTATTTCCTGTATGTATTTTCAGATGCTGAGTAAGCTGAGATTTCCTGAAAAAGGCTTTCCCACATTTACCACATTCATGGGGTTTCTCTCTCTTGCATACACTCTGATGTTTAGTGAGGTTGAACTTCTTGTAGAAGGTTTTCCCACAGGTATTACATTCATGGGGTTTCTTTCCTAAATGAATTTTCTTATGTTCAGTGAGCTGAGACTTCTCGAGGAAAGCTTCCCCACATTTAGCACATTCATGGCCTTTCTCTATTTTGTATGTTTGTTGGTCTTTAAGGAATTGTGACTCGGTGCTGGTAGGTTTTCTACTTTCATGAGATTTAACTTTAGTATGAGTTTGCTCATGAGTATCACAGAGAAAGGATCTCCTATCTGCATTTAACTCAGCAAGCTCTTTTATGGTATATCTTCTGCTCTGGTTGGATAAACCTAACTATGGTTTCAAAATTTTTCCATATAAATCAAACATGTCATGATTTGGCCTTAAAGGAAAATGATGTTTGCACCTCTGAACATTTCCAAGTGCATTCTGTTCATAACATTGTTCCACCCTCTTTGGCCTTTTTTGGTTTTGCAATTGCTGCTGCAGATGATCATCAGCTTTCTCAATTTCTGGATGGACTTGATTGTGGATTTCATCTTCTAATGTCCACAGTGGCTCTCCTCCTTCCAACATGGAGAGGACATCTACCCAGCTGGCTTGAAACACAAAGCTTCCAGAAGCTGAGAAAGAAAAGGGCATTGATGGGGCACCCTCCAAGTGACAGGGGCAGCTGTCCTCACCCACTGACACCAGGCTGCTGTAGTTCTCCAGCATCACATCCCAGTACAGGTCCTTCTGAGCAGGGCCTGGGAGCTGCCACTTCTCCCAGGTGAACCTCACAGCCACATCCTCCAGTGATAGTGACTCCTGGGCCTTTGTCATTTTCCTCTACTTTAGGAACATCCAATAACTGAGATACTCTGTCTTTAGTATCTTCTGGATCTGCCTTAAATTTTTACTTAGAAATCTGCATCTTTGGTCAAGGGTATCCCAAGAAATGATGATATACACATCCAGGAAATGTCACTTGAATGTTCTTGCTCCAGGGAGCAGGACTTGCTTCCCCTGTGAACCCAGCAAGATCTACACGTGGCTAAGGCGAATTCTCAAGTCTGTTCATTTTTAAGGGACTTTATGAATGATCCTATAGTACTCAGGATTCTCAGCCTAGACCCCTGGATAGGTATCAGGGAAGTCTATGGATGCCCAGAGGTTGTTTTACAACATTTCAATACTTGCCTCTCTGTTTTGCATTTTTCTGGAAATGTTCTTTAGCTTTCTTTGTATTCTTAGGAGTGTATATTCTGGCTTTAATGCATTTGTGTTATAGAAGAAGATAATACCATTGTTTATGGATTGCCTTATGCCACACATTAAGAATTCTATAGGAATTTATAAAGTAATACATAAATATTAATGCTTGACATAAGAAAAACAAAACTAAAACTATTTTATGGGTGGCAAGACAGCAGAAGTAATGAAGTATCTTTAGTATACTTAAGGAAAAGAACTCAAATATTCTTACCCTGTAACATCCCCAATATTGTCATGTGACTATCATATCCCCACTGATATGATGTGTTGAGAAGTGCACTTCACTTCTATGGGCTTTTACCCCCTAAGGCTTTTTTTCCCCAAAAATGTCTACTCATGGGCTGGGGATTTAGCTCAGTGGTGCTGCTGCTACCTGCTTTCCAAGCACAAGGCCCTGAGTTCCATACCCTGTACCAAAAAATAAAGTCTAATCATAAGAAAAACATTAGGAAAACCTACAGTGGAGGACATTCTACAGGACATCTGGCCAGTATCCTCAAGACTTTTAAGGCCGTGAAAAACAAGAAAAGACTGAGAAGAGATGAAAAAGACATTACAATTTAATGCAATGTGGTATCCTGAATGGAATGCTGGAACAAAAAGAAAAGAAGACATTATGAAAACATTGGTGAACTCCAAATATATTCTGGAGTTGAGTTAATACAAATGTATTTTTTGTAGTTTTTTTAATTTAAAAATTACTTTATTATCAAACACACATACAGAAATTAAAACCATTCAAAGAAGAACAATGCAAGGAAAAAAACTACAATAATATTCAAATATAGTAGAGCTCAACCAAATAAAACTGAAAAGCACTTAAACATTTTTTCCGTATAACTAAAAAAACATCTCAAGCACCAGCAAAACATCAGAGGATGTGATTTGTTTCAGAAAGATCCCCAAAACCAACATTGAACAAATAATAGTCTGGAAAAAAATCTCCAGTTAGCTAGCATACTGCACATAAGCTAAACTTCTCCCTAATTTAAATTTTAATACAGTCATGTAACACGTGATGGAAACACAATCCGAGAAATATGTTATTAGGCCATTTCATCCATGTGTATCCTTAATTACACTTTTAGTTTCTCACACTAGAGAAACTATTTGGTATTTACACATGTGTGTCCTGTTTATTTCACTTAGGAGGATGGCCTCAATGTGCATCCATTTAGCTATAAATGTCTCTAGTTTCTGGTTCTTTATGACTGAGTAGTATTCCATTTTATTAAAAAACCACATCTTCTTTATCCAGTCTCCAGTTGATGGGCACTTGGGCTGTTTCCAAGCTGTAGCTATTACAAACTGTGCCGCTATAAACATAGGTGCACATATAACACTGTGGTATGATTCTTTTAATTCTTTTGGGAAGATACCCAGCAGGGGAATAGCTGGGTCAAATGGGA